ATACTTGGTTGCCTCCCTGGACTGTGTCCCCGGCAAACAAAGCCTGTCATTTCTCGTAGGACCACTCTGCTTGGCTCATTCCGGCAGTCACAAAATTTTAATGCCATTCCCACCACCCACCCCCCCCCCCCTCCCCCACCACCACCATGACCACCCCCACCACCCTCACCCCGATCACATGCATTCCTCCGCTTCCATTTTATATCATTGCCCATGGCTGAATCATGGCTCATCTCGGACTCGTGGCCTTTGTTCCCTCCCCTCCCCTTTGGTTTATCGCCTTGCCCCTTCGCCGCACGGTACTCACCCCCCCCTTCTCCTCCTGCTACAGCGACCAAGACGCTCAACCGTGGTATTGCCGAGCTTGTGGTGATGGCTGCCGACACCGAGCCGATCGAGATCCTTATGCACATTCCGCTCCTGTGCGAGGACAAGAACGTGCCGTACGTCTTTGTGGAGTCGCAGGCTGCGCTTGGCCGTGCCTGCGGTGTCTCCCGCCCGGTCATTGCTGCCTCCATCACCGTCTCGGACGGCTCGCAGCTCCAGACCCCGCTCAACAACCTCAAGGACGCCATCGAGCGCCTCCTCATCTAATCGGCCCTCGCCCTCTCTTAAACTCCCGAACATCCATTCCCCCCCCCTCCCTTCCTCTCCTCCTCCCCCCCGTTCTCCCTTCTGCTTGCCTCTCGCCACGTGCCACGTCCCGCCGACAACTCGCCGCCCGTACCCAAACCAACACCGTCTCCCTAACTCGGCACCACTCGACTAGGTGCGGGGACGGAGCGAGCAGCAGCAGCCATGGCGTCCTTCTCGGTCTCGACACGCCGCTCAAGCTTGTTATCTTTCTTGCGTACATGTCGTTGTGGACAGGCCTCCGTATCATCATCTTTGCCTCGCAGCAAGGCAGCCAGTACAACACAGCCGCGGTGGTACGTCCTCGCTCCCCCCCCTTCCCTCGCCTTGCCCTCGCTTCACCCTCCTCTGTACTCACATACCTTTATATATACATATATATGCACAAACACACATGTAGGTGCTCTGCATCGAGACTGTCAAGCTCCTGCTCGCAGCGCAGATGTTTGTGTCAAGGGATGGGACGTTCAGCGAGCTGCTCGCCCAGCTGAGCAAGCATCGGGCTCTCCTGGCAAAGTACTTTGTGCCAGCCTTCCTCTACTGCATCTACAACAATCTTACCTTTACCGTCTTGTCGGTTGTCAATCCGTCGACTTACGCCATTCTGCAGCAGCTTAGGCTGGTGGTCACGGGATTGCTCTACGAGCGGTGCCTCTCCAGGCGGCTCTCACGGATGCAGTGGATCGCCATTGTCCTTCTCACCATCGGCTGTATGGTCAAGGAGGCCGACCAGTTCTCAACCAGCAGTAGTGTCTCGACGCGGACCACGCCTGTGACTATGTATCTGTTTATCCTGCTGCAGATCGCATGCGCTGTCGCTGCAGGCGTCTACAACGAGGTCCTGCTCAAGGAAGAGACCGGGACAAGCATCAATTTGCAGAACGTGTGCATGTATCTCAACTCGATCGTGTGCAACGTTTTGTTTATGGCCCTCGGCTTTGGCCGTTACTCCCTCGCCGAGGCCCTCGAGCCCGCAACATCCGCCCGCTCTTCTCCTTCTCGGTCTTCCCCATCATCCTCACCTACGCCTCCATCGGCATTGTCACCTCGATCTTCCTCAAGCACCTCAACTCGGTCCTCAAGACCATCGCCTCAGCCCTTGAGCTCTACGCCACCGCTGCCACCGCCCTCCTCCTCTTCGGCACTCCCATCGATGGCTTTACGGTCATCTCGCTCATTCTCGTCTCAGGCGGCGTCTACATCTACTCGGCTTTCCCCCCGGATCCTAGCCCGCCTACACTCTCGCAGCCTGCCCGAAACGACGACGATGCCGACGCCGTCCTCACGGCCGGCAAGGGCGAGGTCTCGGTCTGACTTGAACCTCTCCCCTCCCCTCCCCCTCTTCATTGCCACTACATCTCGTCAACCCAGGCCCACCAGGCCCACCAGGCCCACTAGGCCCCCCATCCCTCCCTCTACCGCCCATGCTCACCAACTAGATCTTCAAAGCAATCATATCCCACATTCCAAATCCCTCCTCCCCGCCCATTCTGCTCGCCGACCTGCCGTTGCCTGTCACCCGCTCTCCCCGCCCGCCTCCCACGCAAGCGCCCCCTCCCTCTCCCTGCACTCGCGAACACTGCACTTGCTCTAGAGAGACAAGAAGGCAAGGCGGGCAGCCATGGGTAGCTACTTTCGGCCGTTGTCACCTACCCGCTTCTCCACACGTCCAAGATACTCACTGGCGCCTTATGTGTCGCCAGAGCCGGCGCTCCTGGCCGACCTCCCGCGACTTGGTTCGCCGCCACCCGCACATGGCTCGTCCTCGTCCCCAAACCACGACCCTTTTCGGGCAACGGCTCGTCAATCGTCACCCATTGCCTTGTACCACCACCGACAGGGACAATGGTCGGATCGCCCGCTCTCAGAGTTCTCCCCGCCGCGTCACCGCCATCATACTCGTGATCACCGCCATCGCTCTCCCCTCCCGCCGCATGCATCGTTGTTGGCGAGACCCAAGGAGACCCTCTCCGGCATGCGCCACATCGAGCAGGTGAGGTTGGCCCGTGAGCGCGAGGAGGCCCACCCGCCACCAGCCCGCCCGCGCAGCGTCAACTCGCCGCTCTTTGAGCTGGCGGATCGCAGCTCTCCGCCCGGCACCCGCTCGACGACAACGCCAACCGGCGGTGTTGCTGCGTCCGGCGTCGCGGGCCCGAGCGGAAGCCGCGGAAGCATAGCCGGGGCCAAGGCTGCCGAGCGGAGGCGGCGGCGGTCGCGCAGCTCGGCTCGGCGCGACTCGGCGCAGTCGGCGCGGTCGGCGCGGTCGGCGCGGTCGACACGGTCGTCGCTCCCGTCGACCGTCATCGAGCTCGACGAGGTGTCTGCCAGTTTTGGCGACGGATCGAGTTCCGAGGCTAGTGCTCAAGGCGAGTCGACCAGCTTGGCGCAGAGCGGCAAGCCGCGGTCGATCGCCTCTCTCCGCGCCCGGGAGGACTCGGCAGTTCTGGACGACTCGTGGTACGATCCACCGACGGTCAATCGGAGGCTTATGAGTCTCAAGCTGAGCCAAGAGCCGCGGCGCGACTCGATGTTTCTCGGCTCGACCGAGTTTGCGACGACGTCGTCGCCCGATGTTCGCTCCTCCAACGCAGACCTCAACATTCATCCACCGCGGCGGTACGCGTCGACGCTCTCAATTGGAGGGCACGGATTTGCGGCGACGGTCGCGCCCTCGGGCTCGCACATGTCGAAGAGCGGGTCGAGCTCGGAGCTCGGCTCGCTGCCGTTTGCGTCGGTTCCAGTCAACTCGGTGGTGTCGGGCGAGGACCAGTCACTTGTCGACCCATCGGGCCATCCAGTGGTGCTCAAGTCCGCGCTGCGGGCACGGGTCGACGGCGCGCTGGACTCCGTTGCCTACCTGGTAGTGGTCTCCATCGTCACACTCTATGTGCTCTACATCGACGACGCAATTGTGGTTGCTGGCCGAGAGCACACCGACGACACCAAGCGGATCATCTTTGCCTTTCTTGTCCTCAAAGTTCTTGCCGCCTTTTCTTCCTCGGCGAGTTCATCGTCTTCAACTGGGCACGCCGCGAGACGTACCCGTTCTCGTTCTTCTTTTGGCTCGACATACTTGCGCTTGTCTCGTTTGTGCCGGACTTGCTCGAGCTCTTTGCTGGCATCACCTCGCTCGGCCTTGCCGGCTCGCTGGCAGTCTCGCGAGCCGGGCGGGCGGCGCAGGCGTCGTCGCGGGCGGTCCGCGCGTCGAAGCTCGCCAAAGCGCCTCTGGGCACGGTCGAGAACCAGATCGACGAGTTCAACCGCATGTCTGGCCTCGCCCGTCGGCCGTCGGCTCGCAGCTCATCCAGGTGACAACTAACAAGGTTACCGTCCTCGTCCTCCTTGTCTACTTTGCCTCTCTTCTCCTCCAGGTTGAGGCGCCACTCGAGGACCACGTCAAGGCCAACATCGAGGCGGTGGAGGCGACGATGCTCGCAGGCAGCAGCGGTGCTGCGCTCGTGGAGTCGACCCTCATTCCCGCGCTCAGCGCAGGCTACGGTTCGACAAATGTGGAGCTGCTGCACATGTGGTCGCTTGGTACACGGCTGGCCGGCTCGCAAGCTGCGGTCGACATGCTCAACCCGGTGTACGTGGTCAAGGTTGTGTCGTCGTCGAGGAACTCGGGCGCCGAGTACTCGGTCCGGCACACTGTCCGCCTCAACGCCGGCCTCAACATTGTGCTCATCACGATCCTGCTTGCTGCGCTCATTCTCGGCTCGTACCTCATATCCAAGGATGCGGACCGATTGATCAAGGTTGCCATTCACAAGATTACCCGCGCGCTCATGGCTGTCTTTGACAACATCTCGCGCAAGGCTGTCGAGCCGGTTCCCACCGTGTCGGGCGGTGGGTTGGCGTCGGTGTCGGAGAAAAGGCTTCCGGTAGCGGCGAGAACTCTGAAGCCACTGTCCTGCTCAACATGCTCAACACCATTGGTGAGCGGGCCGGCTCAGACGCGGCGCTCGTCCGCAGGCTTCGGCAGCAGCGCGAAGAGTACCTGGTAGCTGCCAAGCGGATGGAGATGGAGCTCCGGCAGTGGCGGCGGACCAAGCCGACCGCTCACATCGGGCGAGTCCCTCTGTTCTCGCGCGAGACCGAAGGCTCGGACCCGCTCTCCAGCGAGTGGATTGTCTTTGCCGACGAGTCGACCGAGCTGTCGGGCGCAGCTATCAACGCGGCGCTCGACGCTGTTGTTTCTGCGCTCGGCGAAGTCCCGCAGAGCGAGGCGCTGGCCAAGGTCGTGCTCTCGGGCTCGGTGCCGGGCCTTGTCGGCTGGCTCGTCTCGGACCTCCAGCCGCTACCGTTTGTTCCCCCAGGCGAGGTCCTCGACTACACATACGTACTCATGGTCAACTACCGGTCGTTCATGGACCCGGCAGCGCTGCTGGAAGACCTCATCATGGCATACTGCCGCGCACCACCCAAGGTCACCGCATCGCAGCACAGGCTGATCGAAGAAGGCATCACGCCCGAGGAGATGCGGCTGGTCCGCGAAATGTTTGCAAGGTTTGATGCCGACGGCAACGGCACGCTCTCGCGCGACGAGATGGCCATGGTTCTCTCCGAGCTCGATCGTGGGTGCACGCCCGAGGATGTCGAGACGCTGATGACCGAGCTCGACGAGGACCAGTCGGGCGAAATCGACTTTGACGAGTTTTTCAATGGCCTCACCAGCCTCATCTCCAGCCGCGAGGCGGCGCTCGAGGCGTGGAAGACTGACGTGCTGGAGCCACTCCGCCGCAGGGTTGCCCTCGTCCTCGAGTACTGGATCACCCAGTTTACCTCGGACTTTGTCACCTCGCCCGACTTGCTCGCGCTGGCCGAGACCTTCCTCGGCCTGTTCATGCCCGAGACCGGCATGGAGGCCGAGGGCGACGCGCTGCTGAACCTGCTTGATTCGGTGCTGTCGCGGGCGGCGAGCGCAAACGCAGCGCACGTCGGTGTCCGCCTCGACACCGGCCTTCCGCCCCTGCCGCGGATGTCAGGCGGCGCGGCCGACGCACTGTTGGCGGCCGACCCGGTGGAGATTGCGCGCCAGCTGACGCTGGTCGACGCCCGGCTGTACGGGGCCATCCAGCGGACCGAGCTCGTCGACGGCGCGCACATGTCCGAGAACAAGAACGTGCGCGCACCCAACGTGTCGGCGCTTGTCGCTCAGCACAATGCAGTCTCGCGGTGGGTCGAGGCATCGATCCTTGCACCAACCAAGATCAAGGAGCGGGTGGCGGTCATCAAGCTCTTTGTCCACACCATGGTCGCTTGCTCGCAGCTCTCCAACTTTAATGGCGTCATGGCCATCTACGCCGCGCTCCAGGGCACCGCCATCGATCGGCTGCGCAAAACATGGGCCAAGGTTCCCAAGGACGTCATGTCCGAGCTCGAGGCCGTCGGCGCCCTCATGAGCTACGAGAAGAACTTCAAGGCGTACCGCAGCCATGTTGCGGAGCTCACCGGGCCCTCAGTCCCATACCTCGGCATTTACTTCAAGGACCTCATCGGAGTCGACGAGGGCAACGAGAAGCGGACCGCGAACGGGTTCATCAACATGGAAAAGTGCTACCTCACCGCCTTTACCATCTCGGAGCTCCTTCGCTGGCAGCCCGAGACCTCAGCGTATACCTTTGTCGGCATCGATGAGGTCCAGGCGCTCTGGCGCGAGTTCTTTGAGCCCGCCGACCTCCGCCTCCCGCTCGGCTTTGATGTCGAGCCCGGATGGGTGCCGTCGCCGCCGACTGAAGATGATCTATTCAAGCTCTCGCTCGAGCGCGAGCCGCGGGTTAAGCGGTGATGCGCATGTTGCAAGAACGGCGACACAGCTGGCTTTACTGCGGCGGCAAAAGTAACTACTCCATCATCTCAATCTGCATCGGCTCCTCTTCGTCCTTGCCCTTGCCACCGTCAGTCGGCTCGGGCTTGGGAATGACGAGCTTGATCGAGTTGTCGGGCGCACGAGTGGCGGTCACCGTCTCGGGGTTGACTCCGGTCGGAAGAGGGAACGAGCGCGAGAACGACGAGAACGATGACTGCGAGCAGGTGAAGCCGTCGACCTCCTTGGTCGACGAGTGTTCGTCCGAGCCCGAAATCGTCACGTTGCCGTCCTTGATCGAGAGCTTGACCTTGTCACGCGGAACAGGCAGATGCGCCACAACCTCGTATGCTGTATCCTTCTCGCTTACATTAAACGAGAGCCGCGAGTGCGGCGTCGACGTCGTCACCGCACGCGAGTGCGGCGACCGCACAGAGCCGACGTGTTCAAAGACCGGCCAGTCGTCCCAGAGCCACGAGCGGAACGGAGAGAGCATCATCTTTGTTGTCTTTGTAAATGTTGTCTTTGTCAGTGTACGCGATTGACTGGGTGACTCCCCTGGCCGTTGCTCGTGCCGGTTTTATTCTGGTCTGTGGGAGCGTGCCCGACGAATTTCGTGAAGCTGGGAACGCTTCGCTGGTGCCCAACGTTATCCGCGACAACATTCTGCGCTCAAATGTCTCAGAAAGCTCGGGCAGGGATGCGGAAAAGCGCTGCTGGAGAAGGGCAGTCTGCTTGCATTGCAGTGAAGGAGCAGAAAGCCACTCAGAAGGAGGCCTATGTGTGTGGGGATGGGTGGCTAGTCCTGCGCGAGGCAGTAAAGCTGAAAAAGTGATGTACCGAACAGAAAGCAGTTGCGGGGAAGTCCTTGCAAATCTCGTAGAGACATGGCTATTCCAGCCGCAGGCCTAGTTTCTAAGTCAATACGATGTATCGTGATACTGCAGGTGCGGTAGCGGGTGTATTGAGCGTGCGCGTGTTGGTAGGTGGGACTGTGGACGTGGCTAGGGCGGGTGTGACCCTTCACTTTTTTCTCCCTCTCCGTCTCGACCCCCCCCCCCCCCCCCCCCCCCCCCCCCCCCCCTCTCTCTCACAACCAGCAATCCAGCCACGATCAAGCGTAATCGCTGCACATTGCAGCTTTGAGCAGCATTGTGACAACCAGATGTGAATTTGCATGACTTCCGCAAGGTCCAGGCAATTGATCATCGGCCGGCAAGTCGAGGGGACAAGACGAGCGGTTTTGGCGGTCAAGTCGGTCAGCCGGCATTCAGCCAGCCGCCAGACCAGTGAGAGGGGGAGGGGAGCGGGACAAGGTCACATTCAACTCGGAGCAGTCGGCGTGCGGAGGTATGGAGGGGCATGGTGTGCTGCAGGAGCTATATGCGGTGTCTGGGGACATGGACGCCGAGGTCAAGCTGCTTGACCGCGTCACAACCTGGCTGTTCTCAGAGTCGGCAGCAGCAGAGAGCAATCAGGGGAGCGTGGCGAGGATGGACGGTGACGACTGGCTTGCGCTGCTGCGGTATGCCTTTGAGCGAAGATACGGATGGTCCGAGTGGCACTCGCCACCGCAAGCTGATGAGGCTGGCCAAGGAGCTGAGCGCGCCGCCGGCTCTGGCTCTGGCTCTGACTCTGGCTCTAGCTTGGGTGACGGACCGGCTACGCCGTGCAAACAGAAGGGTGTGAGCCAAGTCGATCTGAGCACTGAGCCGTCACCGCCGCGGCTGCCGCCGATGGGATCGTCGGCCTCGCTGCTCGCCGAGTCGTCGCGGGGGATGAGCCATGTCAACAGCGCCATCAACGAGTTGCTGCTCAAGCTCAAGGCGCACCAGGAGTGGCCGGAGGCCGTACACCATGCGCTGGCACAGGTGCGGCTGCTCACGACCAAGCATGCAGTTCGCAAGTCGGCGCTGATGTTTGAAATTGACCACGGGCTGGCGCACGGGACCGAGGTGCGGGACCTTGTTGTGGCCGGCCTCTTTGACGTGTGGTCGGCGATTCGCAAGGCTGCGGCAAGCCGCGTTCCACAGCTGATGGCGGCGAGACCGGAGGCGACCGAAGCGCTGGTGGATGAACTTGTGGCGGCGGTGACCGAGTGCAGCGAGGTGCCATGGCAGACACGACACGGCGCAGTGCTGGGACTGACGGCTGTGGCGTGTCGCGGGTACGAGCTGGTGCCGCCACTGGCGTCGCGCGCACAGGTTGTTGTCGACGGCCTGCTGCGGCTGATGGCGTCGGCGCAAGCCGCGGTGCGAACCGCAGCAGTGGGCGCGCTTGCTGCGGTGGCGGCGCGGTCACCAGTGTCAGTCACTGTCGAGCTGCTGCAGGGCAGCATGGCAACAAGTGGCGAGACGCTTGCGGCGGCAGTACTTGCGGCGGCGAACGCACCGCTGGACGTGGTGCTGGCGCAGTGGGAGGCGCGTGTGGAGGCGGGGGTTGCGCTGCTGGGCTCGGCGGCGTCGACGGTGCGACAAGACGCGGCACGGCTGGCGGCACTGGTGGCGCAGCGGTGTCGCGCGGTTGGTGCGATGGAGTCGCTTGAGCGCGTGGTGTCGGCCGTGGTGGCTGGCGCCGAGGCCCGCAAAGCCGGCGAGTGGCAGGTCTGCGAAGGTGCGCTGTTTGCGCTCGAGCACGTGCTGGAGAATGTGCTGGCACAAGACGCACGCGGGCGTGGTGAGGCCGGTCCTGAACCGTCCGCCACCGCGGATCCGCTAATCATGGAACTCGCAGGTCCGGCAGGCGCAGGTGTGGCCATCTACGCTCAGGGCGTGGAGCTGTGGTGCGCGCCCGGGGTGAGCGCACCAAGCCGGCTCTCACCAGAGCTGCTGGCCCGGGTGCTGGCTCTGGTTGTGGCGGCGCAAGGCGCAGAGGTGTGGGAGCTGACCAGGATGAGCGCGCGGGTGCTTCCACTGGCTGCGCGAGTCCTGCTGGCGCACGCACCGCACGAGCTGGAAGCGAGCTGGCAGGCGCATCTGCCGGGGCTGGAGGCGCCGGACGCAGCGCCAACCGACGATGCACTCGTTGCGCTGCACACGCTTGCTATTGCGCTGGATGACCGCGACTATGTTTTGAGAGCAGAGCATGTTCTTAGCTCGGCTGTGGCGCCGGCACTGGCCATGGTGCTCTCGGCGCCGTTCCGGCTCTCGTCGGTGCCCGCGGTCGAAGTTGTGGTCCGCGCCGCAGTGGCGCAGAGCGGCGGACTGGACGATGCTGATCTCGCCGAGGTTGCCGGCAAGCTCCGCAAGCTGACGTGCATTGCGCACAAGATCCTCAAGCGCAAGATGGCCAAGATGGCGGCGCTGGCCGGCGCGGCAACAAAGGTGGTGATGGAGAAGAGGAGCGCGTCGAATGCCAAGGCGGCAGCGCTGCAGGACGAGGTTCTCAAGGCCATTGCGCCACTCGCCGAGGACCTGGCGGCGGTGCTTGGACCACTTGCTGCTGCAAAGTGGATCCACTACTTTGCGTCGCTGGCGTATGTGGTGGGCGCCGAGGCGGTGCGTGAGCCGCTCCTCCTTGCTGTCGCCGCGGTGGTTCGGCGGACGGCCAAGCGCGAGCTCGAACTGGCGCCTGAAGCGCTTGCGGCCGCAGTCTGCTGGATGGCGCCGCTGCTCCGTGATCCGGTGCTCGACGACGATGGGCTGAGTCTTGCAGTCGACATTGTTCGCAGCGGCGTATCCCACCTTGTGGCCTGCGGCTACAACGAGGTCGCCCACGTCGTCGACGTCGTCCACATCGCTCTCGCGGCGCGGATCGACAGTGTGGAGGCGCTGGGCGTCTCGGTCGAGAACGAGCTCTTGGCGCTGCTCGCTGTCGATGAGAGCGAGAGCTTTGCAGCAGGCAGCGGCGTTCCCGCAACCGAGGCCGTCGACACCGAGCTTGACTCGGTCACTGAGCTGCTGGAATGGCTGACACGCCGGAGTGAATGAAACCCATTTGAAAGGGGACAATTTGGAGGTCGAACCAATAAAATGCTCAGCCAAGCGTTTTATACTTGAATGCGTTCATCCTATGCTGAAAATACCCGATCCCGTCTCGCTCTCGGAAGTCAAGCAGCATGAGGCTTGGTTAGTACTGTGGTGGGGGACCACACGGGAATACCGAGTAACGCATTCTTTCTTCTTTTTGCCCAACTACACACCCTCCCTACATACATCCACCCACCCCTAACCCCACCATCGTTAGTGCCCATCATCGCGCATCATCTTGCCGGCCACCTCCCTCCTGCCTATGTTCTCTCACCCATCCAAAGTTTGACATCGGCATGTGCGCAGCCAGGTTGTGGGCCAACTCATCATCGAGTCGAGCATTCCTTCCACGCCGTACTGCCGGCGCCGGCCAGCAGCAGGATCAGCTCGAGCTTCTTTTGCCGTCGCCGCGAGCCACCTGACGACGACAAGCCTTCTCACCGGCAGGTCTTTGGCGGGGGACAGGTGAGAGGCAGACAGTGACATGTTCTTCAGCCCGGGCTTCTCACCCGTGGGCAGCAGCAACCGGCAATACGGATACCCAACGGGGGGCAGGAAGGCCCACCGACATGGCTCCATGTTCTCATCTCGGCCCTGCTCTACGTCCTTCTCACGGCCTTGGCCGTAGCCATGCTCGCGCCGGCTGTCGGCAGCGGATGTGTGGCGGAGAAGTCGGCGAGTGAGCCATCGCTGGCGGTGCTGGGCACGATGAGCGGCGAGGGCGAGTGCTGGGAGGTGATGTGATGCAGGTGTACCAGACAGGCATGGTGATGGCGATCGCCTGTGGTCTCGTCACTGCTCTACACCATCTCGACGAGCCAGGACTGGGAGGCATGTATGGCGGGGCGACGGTGGTCCTTGGCGGCCTCTTTCATACCCTCGTCACTGGCTCGGATGTGTGGCGGAAGGCGCTCCACGGGCTGCCGCTCATGCGGGCGGCCGAGCTGCGCCTCTTTGGTGTTGTCCATCACTTTGCGCTCCTCATCACCGTCGGTACCATCGGCGTGCTCGTCGGCAACAAAATGGCGTCGGGGAGCTGGCTTGGCCCGGCCATGGACGTCGGGTCGGGACGCCCGCGTCGGACAAGCTACCTTGACGCCGTCACCGGCATGGAGACCTACGGTGAGGCCAGCCTCTGGGCCGACGACTGGTGATGGATGCACTCATTGCAGCACCCGCTCTGCGCGATCAATAAAGTACCGCGGCTCACGGATGACGGCCACCGGGTCGACATGGACGAGATGGCCTGCGGCAGCGAGCCGGGCGTAGTCGGCTGCCGAGGCGTGGTGGCCGGCGGCCTTGCCGCCCTCGCAGCCATCGTCGTCGACAAAGCGCACGTCGACGATGCTGCGCTCGTCGCGCGGCCGCAGATTGTCGTCAAAGAAGATCTCAGCAGGCGCCTGCCCGCGCTCGCCGTCCAGTGCAAAGAGCTTGCCGGCATGCGCAGCCTCGCCGGCGCGTGACCACGCCGCAAACTCGTCGCGGACAAACATGACTCGCGCCGCTCCAGGCGCAACAAGATGGGAGAGGAGCTCCCGCCGGACACCGCACACGTCCTGCGCCGCCACCCGGCCATCGTCCATGACCATTGTCACCGCGTCGGTGCCCGATCGGACAAGTTCGGCGGCGCGGGTAGTCGCCGCCGCCGGATGGAGGCCACGCCAGACGGCTGCCATCACGGGCTTGCCAGCAGCCTCGGCCGCAGCCACTCCGGCGTCGACAGCGCGAGCTAACGCTGCACGGACAGCATCGAGCTCAGAGCCAAAGGTGCGAAAGACGAGGCCGAACGAGGCGAGGCCGCCGGAGGCGACGGCAGTGACCGCGGCGTCGAGCAGAGCCACGGCTGCATCAACCACAAACGGGTCGCGGCTCCGACTCAGCGCGTCACGAAGCTCCTGCGCCTGTGCCCACGCCTCACGCTCATACGTCGAGCTTGTGGGCCGCCCGTAGTGGCAGGTCAACGCCTTGCGCTCGCCCCGGATCGCCGCAACCGTGTCGGCGTCAACCGGCGGCGGCGGCAACGGCAGAGCCACCGTATCGACAAAGGTCTTGTACGAGCTGATCTGCGCCGCCCTTGCCCGATCGCCTGTCACCAAGACCGACGTCGGCAGCGGGAGCCGCGTCCATGACACCGGCGGCGAGGTTGGTGAGCCATGCCGGTCCGAGGGTGATACCGGCGTTGGAGGAGGACGCGGGCAGAATCCCATTGCCTGCTCGGCCGTCAGCTCGCAGCAGACATCGAGCTGCGACTTGCCGCCGGCTTGATCAACCATGGCGATGGTCTTGTTAATGTCGAGGTGGACGACGAGCGATCTGCTCGCCGCTGCCGCCGGGAGCCTGAAGGCAAGCATACGACGATAGCGAGTGAGGTGTGACGTAGTAGCCCGGGAAAAGCAGGAGGGGGGGGGGGGGGGGGAAGCTACCTCCAAGAACAACACTATGTCACCCTATGTTGATGCCTTCTTCATTCACTTGCGGGCGAGGGCCGAGGACGACGGCTTGGGCACGACGGCGTGGCCCTCCGAGAGGTGAACCTCGACGTGGCACGGCGAGCACATGTAGGCGTTGATGCGGCCGTGGGCGCGGAAGGTGCGGCGGCGGGTCTTGGGCGCCTGCTGGACGGCAATGCGCTTGACAAACAGCTTCTCAGTGTCGAGCTCCTTAAGCTCAGCCGAGGCCTGGGCGTTCTGGAGGAGGCCGAGGATGACCTTGGCAGACTTCTGCGGCCACCGACCGTTGGTCGCCTTCAGGTTCTTCATCTGCGAGTGCTTGCCCGGGCCACCGGTGAAGCGGCGGAACGGAACGATCTCCTTCTTTGCGATCACGTTCTTGAGGTACGCCACCGCGCGCTCGAGCTTCATGCCGCGGATAGCATGAGCGGTCTCACGGGTGTTCTTGAAGTGGACGCGGAGGCTGCTCCCGCGAGCCTTGCACGCTGTAATTCGCCACACACATCCATGTGAGTCATGCCCTCCTCCTCCTCGTCTGTCATACGCGCCTTGCGCCTTGCCCATCCCTGCCCCACCCGGCGCCCCCCCGTCTGCCAATGCCCACCTCTGATCCGACGAAAAACACCGCCTCGAGAGCAGCCTCCTCAGCCTCCCCCTGCGAGCTTGCTTCAAGCCAGACGGCCTCAAGCCAAAGAGACGCAAGATGCAGACGTGCTTGTGTGTTGGTCACAGTTGCAGGCCCGTGGGTGCGGCGACAGAGCCAGACGTGGGCCGAGCACGGCAGCCTCCGGCACAAATGGGCCATCTCGGGCATCGGAATCATTGCGTCCGACGAGGGCTGTGCGGGTGCGGCATAGGGGCATACCCACTGCCATGGGGTACACACAACAAGGTCCATGCCTCTACGTAGTAGCTACCGGTGGTACGTACACTTCTTCGCGTTTTCCGGCTTGTACGCGTACTTGACCATTGTACAGGGAGAGGAGAGGTTGCCGTCTCGTCAAACAAATCGCTGCCGTCAATTGAGCTCGCGTGTTTCCCGCTCGCTCATCCGAATCTGTTTTTCACTTTTCGCCAATCCGAGCCGACGCAACCGACGCAACCTGCGCGGCACCGACGCAACCCAACCCGTGCGTCGCACGACCCAACAGCCGGCATCCTCCCCTTGTGCTCAACGATGTCACAAACTCCAACGCTTCGACTCCATCCATCACTGGACAGTCTCGACCATCCTCTGATCGACTTGTTTGTTGTTCATTTCTCTCGCCCCGTCTCCCAGGGTCTCATCTTGTGCTCGAGCTCGGTTGCGACCGCATCGTGAAACGGCGCGAGCCGAGTGTGGCGACAGGCTCCACATCTCAAGCTCTTCTGCGCATGCGCTGGACTCAGAGCCAGACAATCAGGCCGACGGTCCGGCCTCGCCCGGCCAGTACCCGCCGTAGGGGCCTGGATACTCGCGGTTGTGAGTCGAGTGCGACGGCGGGAGGCCGCGTAGAGGATAGCCGCGGCGCATGCGCGAGCCGTGGATGCTGTGGAGAACGTCGTTGATGGTAGCCTCGTAGACGGCGTCAAACTCGGCGCGATACGCCGGGTCGCGCTCCAGCCGGTAGTCTGGGTCCCAGTTGTCGCGGTTTGCGTAGTACGGTCTGCGGAAGACGCCGCCGACCGTCCACCCAAACCGGAGCAGCAGCCGGCCCTTGTTCTCCTCCGTTCTGCGTCCGCGCTTGTCGCGGACATCAAACCACTGCTCATCGGGCACGCCGCCGCGCGGAATCAGCCGCTCCGCGATGACTACCCGCCCGAGGTAGTCTTCGCCGACCTTGTCGTCGTCCCACAGATCAACCTCGATCACATCGCCGTGATCATCAGGTTCAAACTCAAGCACTTCATCCCACACCGGGTTGAGCGTCCGCTTCATCACCCTTGTCTTCAGCTCCTGCTTCCGATACCTGACTGCAGCGTACGGATCCGACTTGCCCTTGCCACGATCCCGTTTGGCCAGCCCCTCTGCCTTGATCACTATCTCCCTCCGGTCCCCCCGCCCCCGCCATCTCTCCATCAGTCCCTTTCCGCATCTCCGTTCCCCTCTCTGCCCACCATCCTCCATCATCATGCCCATGCCGATGCCGATGCCGATGCCCTCCCCCCCCCCCCCCCCCTCCCCCTTGCAGCGAGACCAGGCCGGGGCTGGGACCCCAACACCATCTCTTCAACCCCTTCGAGTTTTCGCCCCACGATAGCTCCACACTAAGACCGATATTGCTCATACCCGTCCAGATGTCGTTGGAGAGAGTCATGACGCTCGTTGCTCTAAGGAGAAGGCCGCTGAACGTCCTCGTGGCACTCAATGTACGAGAATGAGTCGGCCGAAGATATGAGAGCTGAAGATACGTCCGAGCGACTCCGCACTTACGATAATCCGACAGCCCGCGGTGTAGAATGAGAAGAACGTGCGTCTAAAACGCGTCGCCGACTAG